CATGCTCAAAAACCTATTTATCATTTTAATCGTATTTACCACTTTTTATGAAGGCGCCTGTCATGAATAGTTCACAGTTTGTTTTAAAATTCATAGCAACGCAACATAAAGGGGCAAAGGAACGAAACAAATGCATACTTAATTTTATCACATCCGCTAAAAGACTGCTTTTTGAAATTCTTTTAATATATGAGTCTCTCAGGCAACGTGCTTATATTACTTTCAAATTTCAAGTAAATGTATCACCATATAAATGTAAACCACAAATAGCCTGTTTTGGCGTAAATCATACGTGATGAGAAGAGAAAAGCGAAAAAATTATAAGATTTGATAATAGCAGTACCGGTATTGTTACTTTGCTTAAATAGGTACTTATTCTTTCGAGCCAGCTCATTCATGCTTAACCTTTTTTAACCGACTTCCAAAATGGAGGAGGCTTTCAATTCGTCGGAATCTTTTTTTTATGTATGTTCGCCGATTACTCAAAGACGTCTGAATGGATTTGGATTTTTTTGTTTCAAAGGGTATACTTCCCAGGTAGTCCCATATAAATTTTATCGAAATTGGTCGAGCGGTTTTAAAAAAAATCAACAATAAATATTTTTTTAAATAAATTGTTTAATCGAAAATGTTATTAAAAACTTTTTTCTTACAAATTACCTACTTATTACGTCTACACTAAAAATGGAAAAATAAAAACTGACAAAAACCGACTTCCAGGCACTAAAATGTAAAAAATAACTAAACGGAGGTTTTTACTTAGAATAGATACCTAATCAGATATTTTCGAAGTCGGTGCCAGCCTACAATATTTTAAGATATGAATATCTAATAGGTAAATATGTATTTTACGTATCGAAAATATTAGATTTGCTTTGCATCGGTTGGCAAATTTTTCAACATTGAATATCAATGTTACTGACTTATATGTATGTTACATCAAAGAACTAAGTAGGTATCAGTAGCATATACAAATATATACATATATACATTATACATATATACATACACACCTTGCACTTTGTATAGTATTATTGATATTATTTATGTTTATTCATAACTAGCATTGCCCGCGGCTCCGCCCGCGTTCATATGACCAAAAACCAAATTATTAGGTTTTACATATTAGTAGATTGCAGTTTTTGTTTTTTTTCTCAGAAATGTGATATTTTCCTGCAATAAAAATTATCCTTTATGTTGACCCGGATAACCAGCTATCATTATACCAAATTTCATCAAAATCCCTCCAGTGGTTTTTCTGTGATGCGGTAACAGACAGATAGACTAGACAGACAAAAATTCTAAAAACTATAGATTCGGCCTCTGTATTGATAATAAAGTGTATTTCAATAAGATTTTCCAAAAAATATTTAATGTACAGATTCGGCTTAGTTACAATTTTATTATATGTATAGATATTATAAGTTTTTTCAGAGTGTTCATTTGTAAGTTTAATGTAAACATAGTCATAGTCTCAAACAGAGCTTAAGACTTTTTGTTTTGCTTGTTTTTAGTAAACAAGACCATAAAAGTGTTAAAAAAACGCTAACGAAAAGTATTTTGCGTTTTATTTGAAAACTTTTACTAAACTATAATGCCTATATTATTATGGAGATCACGTTCGCGTATCACTTTATAAGGGCATATTAATTATACATTCTAACAGACTTTTTATTAATCGCTATCGCTTAGGTTTGGACATATAGACAAAAGTGTATTATACATTATGTACTAGCCGAACCCGCGGCTTCGCTCGTGCTAAAACTACAAAAAAAACTCTAAAAAGGTAGGTTTCATTTAAACTTTCATGCCCTATTTTACCCATTTATAGGATTAATTTCGAAAAATGCTAAAACACGTATGAATTAGTTGTATTTAAGAACATTAATACCAAGTTTCAAGTAATACTGATCATAAATATTTTTATGAATTGTATTATAACGTGTTTTCCCGTGGGAATATGATAATCCCCCGCGGTAAGTAGCCTATGTCACTCTCCAGTCCTCCAACTATCTCCACACAAAAAAACACGTCAATCCGTCACTCCAGTTCGACGTGGAAGAAGGACAAACAAACACATTTTCGCATTTATAATATTAAGTATGATTAAATACATTTTGTACAATACTTTGCCATACATTGACAATATTTTTTTCTTGATTAGAGTAAAAAAACTTTTCGGCAACAGCAATCATGGTTACGGGATAGACTCTTTCATGGCCATGGTTGCTGTTGCAATGTGTGAATTTAGGATATGTTATATTTAATTCATATTAATAAAAAGTTACTCCGTATACTTAATGTATTGTAATATACCTTAGCTGCTTTTATTTTTGTTATCTACGCTAATATTATAAACAGGTGATGTTTGTAACTTTGAATGTTATATTTTTTTTACTAATAGGAAGCAATATTACTGCCAAGTGTTATAGCTTATTTTTTTATTACGAAAAAAATTTGATTACTCTCAGGAATCATAATAACTGTAATTTGAAGTCGGACAAAATGGCCGTTGAAATACGTTATCTATTCCTGGGCACTCAGGGACACTTGTGCAAAGTGAGAGTATAGTGAGTTATAAGTCTAATAAAAATAAATCCAGCCATTCTCAAGTGATGTGTGTTGAAATAAACAAACTATTTTTTCAAATTTGCTGTTTTGTTTTTATGTATATCCCCAATTTTTTTTTAAATTGTTATTAAAAAAGAGAGGAGGTAAGCGAGCAACTGGACCACGCGACGATACAATATTTACAACTTAAGAACCATATAACTCTTCAACAATTGCCTCCAATAAAAGCGTCACTGAGAAACATTTATCTAAATTAAAGATCTATTTAAAGATACACACGCTTATTATGGACTTTTTTTCAGCTTTCAGTTATACTCGTATGTATCTACAGCCCTATTTACCATACCAGAACCAGCCCTATTTTCAACCCCCGACGCAAAATGAGGGGTTTAATACTAATAGTAATGAGTTTGACGTCGATGATTGTGTGTGTGTGTGTGTGCGCGTGCGTGCGTGCGTGCGTGCGTGCGTGCGTGCGTGCGTGCGTGCGTGCGTGCGTGCGTGCGTGTGTGTGTGTGTGTCTGTCTGTGGCATCGTAGTTCTCAAACGGATTGACCGATTTGTATGCGGTTTTTTTTTTCATTTAAAAGCTAGTTTCCTTGCGGTAGTTCTTAGCTATGTTTGGTTAATATCGGTCCAGTAATATCAGCTTTTTTCCAAAATGATATAAGGCATTTTGGTATATGATAACTCGATTAAGTGCCTCACGCGTGCCAGTGTAATCGTTAAATGACTGTTAATTTGCGTAGGGGGTTTATAATTTTTTAATTTTTATAATATTATCCTACATACAATATTATCCTAGTAAAATAACTGGGACAGATAGACATAATAACATTATAAAAGTTTCAATTTTGCCTTTTGGCTTGCCTGTTATAATTTAATGAATTATTTATAAAAGAAAATTTTGGCAAATACATTTTGCCTTCGGCCACAATCCATTTACGTAATTTTGTTAAACGAATATTTTCACTACCGAAGTTTTTAGACACGGCTTGGTGATTTTCTCTCTCGGTGTCCTCTAAGTGCCGTTATGAGGTTTCTTTTTATATAAAGGTTTTCGCTACTTTCATAAAAGTACCCTACTTCAGTAATATCATCTTTATGATGATAGCTTGCAAATATTTCTTAATAACTTTCTTAGAAATAGGGTATTCCGTATTTACCTAAGTTATAACGCTTTGAATTTATTATTAAAATATCTTAAGTTTTAAGAAACACCATGTATTACGAATTCTATTCCAGTAAATACATACCGTATGTTCAAATATAATTTATGAGGTCAAGAATAATGACTTTTAATACTGCAGGTTAAAATATATAACCAGTAGCATATAATATAACAATATTAATGTAGATCTCTGATACTGCCTCGGTGGTCTAGTGGCTAGCATGTACAGCCTTAGACCGTGGGTTCAATTCCCGGTTTGGGGCAAGTTCAGTTATTGAGTTTTTCTTATATAATTCTAACTCCTCTAGTTATGTGTTTAACTATTTTTATATATGTATAAGGATTTAAAAAAAAAACAACTAATATAGTCCATAAACATTTATTAATATAATATATCATTTTCCATATTCCAATATTAGTAATAATACAATTATATTCCATCAGGAATGTATATAATAAGAAACTACGTATAGATGATTCTACTAGGCTGCAATACCATATACCCCCTGTCCGAGAGACGCATAAAGTACATTAAAGATTCGTTTATCATATAAGAAATATATTTTGACACATTAATAGGTATTTTAAAACACTAAATTGCCAATCGCAAATAAGTGACGTCATTATTTCATATAAAGGCTTATTATAGCGTCCTTCACCAAGTTTCTTTTTACCGTTAGTCTCTTATACGACTAGAACATTTATTTTAAAAGTTACATTTATATTTTTCTATTCTGTTTTTCTCTACTTCCTATTGACATAAGTTTACCACCAATTAGCAGCTACTGCCTCTACTTTTAGCTTACTTAACTCTACATACATACATTGCAATAGAATAAGACTGCTTCAAGCGATGGGTTCATCGGTGAAAGAAAAAATATAACTTAAATGGCCTAGAACCCAGTGCTACAAGCAGTTTTTAGGTTCTGATTGGCCGAGCTTAGTGTCGAAGCGTACTGATTGGGCAATAAGGCTGGGTGATTGCCCAACCATGTAGGCGGACACTCGGCGCAATCAGAGAGAACAAAATATAGAATCAGAGATAATGGAAAGTATTTAAAGAAACATTAGAGAGCTATAATTTTAGTAAAATGGTCCAAAAATATCTCCAAACTAAAATCTACTTCCCTGTTTTTCATCAAATTTCTAGATATGAGGGGATAAATATTGAAGCTAACGCAACGGGTCCGGTGAAAATGCAGTGGTCATTTGGTGCGGTTAGATGGTTGCCGCGAGGGATGCTGTAGGAGTAGTCTCACCCCCACTTCTGGAAGAGGCCCATGCGCTGGCAGCGACAGTTGGACCCCCAGAGGTTGCATCTACAGGAGGACGAGTGGCAACAGTCACCGGGACGGTGGTCACAGTTGCCCCCACGCCGAATGCACGCACGCCTGAAAACGTAGATCAGCGACGATCGTCTGAAACCACATCATCGAATACTAGCCTAAGTTTATGTCTGAGTTCCAAGTTTTACTGGATAAGTGCTTTCAATTTATTTACTCACTTATTTGCTGATTATTCAAAGTGCATAGTTAGGAACCCAGGAAAATTTAAATTCAAAGCTTTTAAATTTTTTGTTAACATTTCTTACTAGAGTACATTTATTGCACTCAAATTTTTAGTCATTTAGAAATATATATTTACAATTTTTAGATGCTGCTTAGTTTTTATCACATAACTGATTTATTTACTTTTCATGACATCAGCAATGTCCGTGCATAATTAGCACACCTAAAAGCCCTATACCATTGAACTTCGTAAATTTCAATTAGATTTTCTTTGTAAAATATGAGAATTACAAAAATTATTACGTCAAACTTACTTGTCAACATCCTGGAGAAGCTGCATATCGGCTGGGTCTTCATCATAATCAGGTCCGCTGATTTCGATATCTTCATCACCTACGGATATAAACATAGTATGTAATAACAAAATATATTTCACTTGTTTTCTCTGTTGGGCAGATATGGATTTAGTATCATTCCAATGTTTATAATGAATCACTTTTTGCAAAGGGTTGCCTTTCTTTGGTCTTTTTTGTTCTGTTTATATAATACTAGCAGAACCCATGGCTTTGCCTGCGTTAATCTAAAAAAAAAACAATTTTGATTTATGTGATATAGTGACTCACCCTTGCTTCGCTCAGGTTCGACCCTATTGTTTTTGTAATATTAAATTATTCGGATATTGTTCATAAAAAATACCAAATCGCGATAAAAATTGGGGTTGGGGGTAGGAGGATGAAAAATACTTTACGACCTATTCTAATACCTACCAAATATACAAAAAAAAGTTTCATTAAAATCGGTCGAGCCGTTACGGAGGAGTGCGATCACAAACGCCGTGACACGACATATTTATATATAAGACCAAGTCACAAACATTTTCTTCACTATCTATCTCGCTACTAACTTATTAAGCTTAGACTGCAATAAATTTACTTTATGAGATGCAACAGTTACAGTTTCCGTTTCAGTACCTGAATAACAAATAATCTAACTCGCTAATAAATTAGAGATGAAAAATAACCGGCAGCATTACAGAAACAGATAATATTACAAGTAAGTATTGAAACGTGCTTGATACGGTGAATGCTTATTGCAATTTTAGTAGAACCAACCAAAGTGGTATATGACAAAAAATCATAAGAAATGTATTCTATTTTAATTATTTCTCTTGTTAATTTAATGTTAATGGCTTTTAAGTGAGAAAGATAGGAAAAACGCTTACGATTATCCGGTTATAATTTTTTTTTAATTTATTATTATATGTGTACATTGTACTACATATACAATTAAAGTAAAACTTAATACGTTCAAACTAGTTTTGACTGAAAAAATACTTTCAAAGTTATATAGCATCTTGAATTATATCTTACTCCGTAAAAGGAATTATTTAGTTAGATTAGGTAGATAGATATTTGAAAAAGTAACGTTTCTCAAATTAGGCCTAAAATAATTTTCGTTAAGGTTAGGTTCTTTTAAAGTTTTTTATATTTATTACAAAAATATCTAACTTACACAAAATCACTACAAAATTTGTTTCAAGATACTTTTGCATATTTTTCATTGATACACATACTTATTAATTCAAAAAAATACTATAGCGCTCCTTAAAATATCTCGGTTACTAACTATTAATTAGAAAGCATGTTATAAATACCAAACGTAAAAAATATCTTTATGATTTCTAACGATACTTATTACCTATATCAAATGATATTTTTTTTAATCCTTGTTTATAGTATATATATGTACATATATTTTTGAAATAGTTTCATGAAATGAGAGCGAAAGAGCAAATAAGATTCTGAACATGGATTGGCAGTGTTTTAAATTTCCGTCTGCCAGTCAGGCGTCAGGTTAGTGGAAATAGGAACGTGTATTTTAATTAAAAATCAATATGGCTTAAAGCTGGTGAATATTAAAGTTATAGTGCTAATTTGTGCGGCATTTGACCTAGACTACCTTTTAGGGTTAACCTTGTCCTCAATATTTAATATTTCATTGGATTTTTTATATAAATATTGAAGAAAATTTTATGACCTTCATTGATTGACCTTGACCTTCATTGATTGACCTTGACCTTCATTGTTAATAAGAAAGTGTTATTTGAGTATTGCGTCAGTTAGTAATTGGAGCTTTTATTATAATTTATTAGCTTAGTTAAAGCTCAACAAAGTTAAACAGAACAATTTTTCATTAAAAGTTGTAATTTTCGATTAGTTTGGAGAGTATTTTAATGCATTGCGTGATTAATGATGATTGGTGTTTTGACGTGGATAATTAATTAATGTTAAAAATTAGGTGATGTTAAAGACCGATTGAATTATTTATTGTTTCATTATTAGGGTTCCGTACCCGAAGGGTGCCAACGGAACCCTATTAATAAACCTCCGCTGTCTGTTGAAATTTTCACAGAATATGTATACATATTTCCATTGACGCTATAACAACAAATAATAAAAAAAAAATATGAAAATACGGAAACATTTCTTTAACGTTGGTAATCAAACATCGAAGTTAATATACTACATCCATAGAGTAAAAGTCATATTAATAAAAAATACATGCACAATGGTACGGAACCCCTCGTGTGCGAATCCGACTCGCACTTGACTGATTTTTAATAAATAAAATATTATTTCGCACTACTTATAACATCTTTATTATAACAAATATATTTTTTTATGTCTTTGGCCGTTGTTTACGTTAACTATTGTTTAGTCCTTTCTCCATGCAGCAAGGAAAGATTCCAAGTAATATTTAGTAAAAAGATAGGTAATGAGCTAGAAAGTAACTTAGGAAAATTTATATTTTCACACAAAAATATAAGAATATAGTATAAAAGCTAATTCTTTCAAAAATTAGCCTGTCCGAAGGCGTCTACGTAGACGTGTTACTTCATATACGTATTTCCATACACATTTTGCAAGACTGTAAAATGTATATAGTACATACATTTAAAAAATAAATGTGTCAACATAAAAGTCAAAATTAAAGTGTCTAGTCATTAAAAATTGAATTGAATTGAAATTGTCATAAGTTTACCTGGATCGATGTAAGAAGCATAGGAACACTGGTTCGCAAGCAGAACAGCCGCTAGCGCCAGCAAGAGAGCGCTGGCGCGCGGCATCCTGCCCACCCGCCAACCGCCGCTTGCCTAAACAAAATATGTTGTTATATATACAGATAAATCAAAATTGAAGTGTCTGTTTGTAATGACATAATAACAGATTTTGACTAAATGCAAATGAAATGATATACGGTAGGTACTTATAGGAAAAACTAATTTTAAATTTTTTTGTCTGTCTTTCTGTTTGTTTCCGCTAATCTCTGAAACTACTACTTCAAGTACTTACTATAGGCAATTTTTAATTTTGATACAAATGAAATCGTTATTGCTTTAATTGGATCCGGAAAAAAACTAGTGGTCTGATTAGGATAGATAAAGATTAGTGACTACGAATATTTAAAATATAGCAAGTGTTTATTCCATTTATTCATTGTAATTAAAAATTAAAAAGTTATAAAAATTTTCATTTTGTTTCTATTACTTCGTAGATATCCCTGAAACATACTTATTAAAAAATTGTATATTTTTATACATGTCATTTAATTTATTCATTTTTTATAATAACTGCTGTGGTGGATATATGTCCCGAGTTCGATTCTAGATCGAAATTATATATTATTTAGGTCTTCATTGTCTATATTATAATTGCTTATTCCGGTGTAATAAGGAAGAATAGTTAAATATATTATTTTTTAGCTTTTGTATCTGATTGTTTGGTTGCGTTTATTTATTTTTATTTTATACCCATATTACTTTTGTAACTATAACTTATTAAATTTTCGTGTTCTATAATTATTCTATAATGATCGTTTTGACAGTCTGCCCTTGACCACAGCACGGTCAAGGGCAGACTGACCAAGGTTGGTGCAACCCAATCGAAACGTTGCGAATAAGGTATATAGCCACTTACGAATTCCCGCGTTTAAGTCCCGTAGTGTAATTATTATTTAATGTTTCTAAGTAATTGTACACTGTAGTAAAACGTTTACGTAAAGTCAGAATATTACTACAGAAATTTATAGCATGTTTCTACAATAATTTAGATTAATTGCTTGCGACGACGTTACAAACTTAGATCATAAAATATATTTGATTGAAATATTGCTTAGATTTGTCGATGTAGTTTTAACCACAAATCAACTGAGTTGTAAATGAAAAATATTTCACAGAGCTATTTATATTGCTATATAAAAAGTGTAAGCATTGTATTTTTTATGAAGTAATTGCGATTCATAAGAGTCACTTATTTTGGCAGAGTGCTCACTCAGCTTTTTGTAAATAAGCTTCATTCTTACATGTAAGTTATAATTGATGTGAAAAAATGAGAATATGTTTGGTACTTCTTCACTCTATAATGGCTTAACAGATTTTAGTGAATTTCGAAATAAAGATAGCTTGGGTTAGAACATTATTATTTCTTATCCATATACTACACGAGTGGAGTTGCTGGCAAAAACTAGCTAACTATAGTGGGTATCAATTATTGATAATACGAGTAAGTGGTACTGGCGGCTTAACTTGCATTTAAAAACGCAGTCATATTCAGAGATATAGTGGTCACTGAAAGGTAGCTTCTATTATGATGCTTAAATGAGAGATAATTTTAGTAAAAACTTAAGATTTACTTAAGAGAAGTCTATTTTTCTACTTTAGGTATCGAAAATTGTTTATCCTTTTTATAACTAAAAAGTTACATTTATTTATTTCTAATACTAAAGACTAAGTAATCCTTAATCTTATATCAGGATATAGGATATAAGGTTTGATTTTCAAGCAGAACATGAGTAGTTTATAATTTCTTGTTTAAAGTTTTACTTAAATCTTTTTAATAAATTTATAAATTAATATTATAAATATGTTTACGGCCTCGGTGGTGTAGTGGCTAGCATGTACGGCTGCACACCCGGAGGTCCTGGGTTCGAGTCCCGGGTCGGGCCAAGTTTAGTTATTGAGTCTTTCTGTATAGTAAGTCTCAGTAACAGCCCGGAGTTGGGAAGTTGGCGGTGTTTCACCCCCGTGCCTCGGAGAGCACGTAAAGCCGTCGGTCCTGCGCCTTAACTCTCACCGGTCGTGTCGAGTGGTCGTCCCACCGGAGTATGAGAGTGACAGGAATAGAGAGTGCACTTGTGTCTGCGCGTACACTTGTGCACTATAATATCTCCTGCGCAGTTGGCTAATCTCAATGAGATTGGCCGCCGTGGCCGGAATCGGCTAGGAGAACATCATCATCATCATAAATATGTTGGGCCATTAACCCACATCACCATCTAGTTAGTAGATACCAGATAGTTGATACACTACACATATATAATTCTAAATACAAACATGTTATAAATATAAACACCCACGACTGGAGTACAAACATTTGCGCTCATTACGTAAATGAATGCCCCCAGCGGGACTCGAACCCGCGGCCACTGGTACAGCAAGTAGGGTGACTACGAATTGAGCCAAACGTGTCGTAAAATTTCTTCTTATATTCCTATAATATATTAATTTAAATATAGTTAATTCCAACTTACAAACCGATAAAGTAATCAAACTTGTCTAAACAAGTTGTTCCTGATTGTCGTATTCACACGGACTTGCGGCGGGCTGTGATTGTAAGGTAAAGTTATGTAGACTACCTATTGGTAAAACTTAGCATTTACTTCAATGTAAACTAAGTTTAGATGAACTTTGTACATTCAACGTATACAGGAACTAGTATCGTTCAGATGACCATAAACCAAATTCTTAGGTTTTACATATTAGTATGCTCTTATAAAACAGTTTTTGTATTTTTTCTCAGAAATGAGATATTTTCCCGCGGTATAGAGTATCCTATATTTTGACCCGGATAACCAGCTATCACCATAGAAAATTTCATCAAAATCGCTCTAGTGGTTTTTCTGTGATGCGGTAACAGACTAAAATTCTAAAAGCTATAGATTCGGCCTCTGTATCGATAATATTAATGTTTATTTGAATAAGATTTTCAAAAAAAATATTTACTGCACAGATTCTGCTTAGTTACAATTTTATTATAGGTATGTATAGATGTATTTTCCTCGGTGGTTCACAACATAGTGATACCTCACTACTCTATTGGAAAGGAACAGTGCATACATTGTTTTCACTCAATATTAATCTATACATATAATAAAATTCTGAGTCGAAACAGTATAATACATACTCGTATTATTTCTAAAATCTTTTTGAAATAGTCATAATTATTGATACAGGGGTTGAATCTCTAATTTTTAGAATTTTTCTTTGTCTGTCTATCTGGGGACGAGAACACCACTAGACAGATTTTGATGAAATTTGGTATGATGATAGCTGGTTATCCGGATAAACATGTAGGATACTTTTTATTGCGGGAAAATATCTCATCTTTGAGAAATCTATACTAAACGTAAATATATTGTACGCGGCTTTTGATTCACAATAGTGACTTTTAAGCTTGTTAGTTTATTTCCCCAAAATCACACAATGTACCTAATGATAATTAAATGGAAATAAATCGGTAAAAAATAAATTAATAATTCCAAAAATCACTTCACACAATTCACAGGTCAGAATAAACAGTAAGTAAAAATTATCATGTATATACAGAATTACTCTAACAAACAAATTGTAGCAATAACACAAATATTATGTTACTAAAATATTTTTCTCTTTTAATTTTTTTTTTCTTTAATAAGCGAAATGTTACATAGGTTTAGAATGTGATACTATCGATGTGATTTTGTAAAAGTGAGAGTAAAAAACTGTTTACGATTAAGTATATTGTAACCAAAGATAAACAAAAATATATAATTTAAAAAATATGTACAGAGTACTTTCTAAAGTATGTAAATCCAATTTAAGTGTGTGAAATAAATCATAAAAGTTAATCCAACTATATCTAGAGACGAAGTTAGTTAGAACTTTAAGTGACAAGATTTTAAACTTCTGAGTTAATTTTGCCTTAAATATTTCCGAACATCTTGTTCTGCGTCACTTCAAGCGTTGAAGCAATCAAACTCGTTAAAGTTATTGGATTGTACAGTCTCGTGGACGAGATTTCATGATAAACTTTAGTATACGAGTACGGCTAAGAAACAACTTTTCCAAGTAAGAGTCTAAGAGTATATAGAAGATTAGCGACTTACCCTCACTTCGCTCGGGTGCGTCTAGCTACGTTTCAATTTTTTTGAGCGGAACGCTAGTTCTTTTTCTAAAATAAAAGTAGCCTAAGTTACACTTTATAATATCAGCTATTTAATAAAAGTCCCGCCAAAATCAGTCCAGCCGTTCCGGAAATTAGCCGGAGCTAACAGACAGACAGAAGTATCGTATATAAAAATTTTATTTTGACGTAACAAACCGACACTTCAATTCTATTTATCTGTATAGATAGTGTGGAAATAATCATCCATACTAATATTATAAATGTGAAAGTGTGTTTGTTTATTTGTTTGTTTGTCCTTCTTCCACGTCGAAACGGAGGCGGGACGGATTGGCGTGATTTTTTTGCGTGGAGATAGTTGGAGGGCCGCGAGAGATTATCTAATTCCAACGGCAAAACATGTTATCATGCAATCCAAAAAATATATTTATTCATCAGAATTACTTGAAACTTGGTATTAATCAATAAAATTAAATAAATACGTGTTTTTGTATTTTTCGAAATTCATCCTATATGGATTTAAAATAGGCCATGAAAGTTTGTATGAAACTACCTTTTTAGATATTTTTTGTAGTTTTAGCGCGAGCGAATCCGCGAGTTCTGCTAGTATTTTTATAAATGAAACAATATTACCTGCGAGGAATATATATAATATACTTAAGTTACACTAAAGAGATATTAGTTGTTATTGACAGGCTATTTTGGTGATGTCAATATAAATAATATTGCTTAATATATTTTGCTGAATACAATATAAATAGCCCGTGTTACTTAGAAATTGTGTTTTCTCTTCTTAGTGGATTGAGAAAGAAAATGGAATCAGTATTGTAGTTCTAAAGGTTAATCCCTACTTAGAAAAAAAATATGTTAGCTGTGCGTACAGCAATGGCATCGAAACTATATGAAA